GATCCCATTCGGCCCCATGGGGATCCCATTCCCGGCCCCATGGGGATCCCATTCCCGGCCCCATGGGGATCCCATTCCCAGCCCCATGGGGATCCCATTCCCTGCCCCATGGTGATCCCATTCCCGGCTCCATGGGGATCCCATTCCCGGCTCTATGGGGATCCCATTCCCGGCCCCATGGGGATCCCATTCCCGGCTCCATGGGGATCCCATTCCCAGCCCCATGGGGATCCCATTCCCGGCTCCATGGGGATCCCAGGGGAGCCCATTCCCAGGTCCATGGGGATCCCAGGGGAGCCCATTCCCAGGTCCATGGGGATCCCATTCGGCCCCATGGGGATCCCATTCCCGGCCCCATGGGGATCCCATTCCCAGCCCCATGGGGATCCCATTCCCAGCCCCATGGGGATCCCATTCCCTGCCCCATGGGGATCCATTCCCGGCTCCATGGGGATCCCATTCCCAGCCCCATGGGGATCCCATTCCCTGCCCCATGGGGATCCCATTCCCAGCCCCATGGATCCCATTCCCAGCCCCATAGAGATCCCATTCAGCCCCATGGAGATCCCATTCCCACCCCATAGATCCAATTCCCGCCCCATAGATCCAACCCAGCCCCATAGATCCGTCCCAGCCCCATAGATCCCATTCCCGGCCCCATAGAGTCCCATCCCCGGCTCCGTGGGATCCCATTCCCAGCCCCATGGGGATCCCATTCCCTGCCCCCATGGATCCCATGCCCCATGATCCCATTCCCGGCTCCATGGAGATCCCATTCCCAGCCCCATGAGGTCCCCTTGCCCACCTGATCCCTCCCCGCCCCATGGGGGATCCCATTCCCGGCTCCATGGGGATCCCATCCCAGGTCCATGAGATCCCATTCCCAGCCCCATGAGATCCCATTCCCAGCCCCATAGATCCCATTCCCAGCCCCATAGATCCCATTCCCAGCCCCATAGATCCCATTCCCATCCCCATGGGGATCCCATTCCCGGCCCATAGATCCAGGTTCCAGCCCCATAGATCCCATTCCCAGCCCCATGGGATCCCATTCAGCCCCATGGGATCCCATTCCCAGCTCCATGGGATCCCATTCCCAGCCCCATAGATCCAATTCCCAGCCCCATAGATCCAATTCCCAGCCCCATAGATCCAATTCCCATCCCCATAGAATCCATTCGGCCCCATAGGGACCCCATTCCCAGCCCCATGGATCCCATTCCCAGCCCCATGAGAGCCATTCCCAGCCCCATAGATCCCATTCCCATCCCCATAGCTCCAATCCCATCCCCATGGGGATCCCATTCAGCCCCATAGACCCCATTCCCAGCCCCATGGGGATCCCATTCCCAGCCCCATGGGGATCCCATTCCCGGCCCCATGGGGATCCCATTCCCAGCCCCATAGATCCCAGTCCCAGCCCCATAGATCCCATTCCCAGCCCCATAGATCCCATTCCCAGCCCCATAGATCCCATTCCCAGCCCCATAGATCCCATTCCCAGCCCCATGGGGATCCCATTCCCAGCTCCATGGGGATCCCATTCCCAGCCCCATGGGGATCCCATTCCCAGCCCCATGGGATCCCATTCCCAGCTCCATGGGGATCCCATTCCCGGCCCCATGGGGATCCCATTCCCAGCTCCATGGGGATCCCATTCCCGGCCCCATGGGGATCCCGGGGGATCCCATTCCCGGCTCCATGGGGATCCCATTCGGCCCCATGGGGATCCCATTCCCGGCCCCATGGGGATCCCATTCCCGGCCCCATAGGTCCCATTCCCAGCCCCATAGGTCCCATTCCCAGCCCCATAGGATCCCATTCCGGCCCCATAGATCCCATTCCCGGCCCCATGGGGATCCCTTCCCAGCCCCATGGGGATCCCATTCCCAGCCCCATAGATCCCATTCCCAGCCCCAGAGATCCCATTCCCAGCCCCATAGATCCCATTCCCAGCCCCATGAGATCCCATTCCCGGCCCCATGGGCTCCCATTCCCGGATCCATAGATCCCATTCCCAGCCCCATGAGATCCCATTCGGCCCCATGGGATCCCATTCCCAGCCCCATAGATCCCATTCCCAGCCCCATAGATCCCATTCCCAGCCCCATAGATCCCATTCCCAGCCCCATAGATCCCATTCCCAGCCCCATAGATTCAGTTCCCAGCCCCATAGGTCCCATTCCCAGCCCCATGGGGATCCCATTCCCGGCCCCATGGGATCCCATTCCCATCCCCATGGGGATCCCATTCCCGGCCCCATAGATCCCATTCCCGGCCCCATGGGGATCCCATTCCCGGCCCCATGGGGATCCCATTCGGCCCCATGGGGATCCCATTCCCGGCTCCATGGGGATCCCATTCCCGGCTCCATGGGGATCCCATTCCCTGCCCCATGGGGATCCCATTCCCAGCCCCATGGGGATCCCATTCCCGGCCCCATGGGGATCCCATTCCCGGCCCCATGGGGTCCCACTCCCAGCTCCATGGGGATCCCATTCCCGGCCCCATGGGGATCCCGGGGGACCCATTCCCGGCCCCATGGGGATCCCATTCCCATCCCCATAGATCCCATTCCCAGCCCCATAGATCCCATTCCCAGCCCCATAGATCCCATTCCCATCCCCATAGATCCCATTCCCAGCCCCATAGATCCCATTCCCAGCCCCATAGATCCCATTCCCAGCCCCATAGATCCCATTCCCGGCCCCATGGGGATCCCATTCCCGGCCCCATGGGGATCCCATTCCCGGCCCCATGGGGATCCCATTCCCGGCCCCATGGGGATCCCATTCCCAGCCCCATGGGGATCCCATTCCCTGCCCCATGGGGATCCCATTCCCGGCCCCATGGGGATCTCATTCCCGGCCCCATGGGGATCCCATTCCCTGCTCCATGGGGATCCCATTCCCGGCCCCATGGGGATCCCATTCCCAGCCCCATGGGGATCCCATTCCCGGCCCCATGGGGATCCCATTCCCAGCCCCATGGGGATCCCATTCCCGGCTCCATGGGGATCCCATTCCCGGCCCCATGGGGATCCCATTCCCTGCCCCATGGGGATCCCATTCCCTGCCCCATGGGGATCCCATTCCCAGCCCCATGGGGATCCCATTCCCCGCCCCATGGGGATCCCATTCCCGGCCCCATGGGGATCCCATTCCCAGCCCCATGGGGATCCCATTCCCGGCCCCATGGGGATCCCATTCCCGGCCCCATGGGGATCCCATTCCCAGCCCCAGGGGATCCCATTCCCGGCCCCATGGGGATCCCATTCCCGGCCCCATGGGGATCCCATTCCCTGCCCCATGGATCCCATTCCCGGCTCCATGGATCCCATTCCCGGCCCCATGGATCCCATTCCCGGCTCCATGGGATCCCATTCCCAGCCCCACAACCCACCCCCCAACCCGGGGATCCCATTCCCGGCTCCATGGGGATCCCATTCCCTGCCCCATGGGGATCCCATTCCCGGCCCCATGGGGATCCCATTCCCGGCCCCATGGGGATCCCATTCCCGGCTCCATGGGGATCCCATTCCCAGCTCCATGGGGATCCCATTCCCGGCCCCATGGGGATCCCATTCCCGGCCCCATGGGGATCCCATTCCCGGCCCCATGGGGATCCCATTCCCTGCCCCATGGGGATCCCATTCGGCCCCATGGGGATCCCATTCCCGGCCCCATGGGGATCCCATTCCCGGCTCCATGGGGATCCCATTCCCGGCTCCATGGGGATCCCATTCCCGGCCCCATGGGGATCCCATTCCCAGTTCCATGGGGATCCCAGGGGATCCCATTCCCGTCCCTATGGGGATCCCATTCCCAGCCCCATGGGGATCCCATTCGGCCCCATGGGGATCCCATTCCCGTCCCTATGGGGATCCCATTCGGCCCCATGGGGATCCCATTCCCGGCCCCATGGGGATCCCATTCGGCCCCATGGGCTTCACCTCGTCCATGAAGATGTCGAAGACGCGCGTGGCCACGGGCAGGGGGAAGGTGGTGAGGAAGAGGGTGAGGAACCAGGAGGAGGCGTACATGGAGGTGAGGAAGCTCTGGGAGCGGAAGTGGCTGTTGAGATCCGGCAGCTGCTCCTGCGGGGAGGAGACTGGGAATGGGGTGGGGGAACTGGGAATGGGGTGGGGGGCTGGGGATGGGGTGGGGGAACTGGGAAGACTGGAGGAACTGGGAATGGAAGGAGTGGGAATGGGGTGGGGGAACTGGGAATGGATGAGTGGAATGGGGGTGAAGACTGGAGAGAAGAACTGGGAATGGGGGTGGGGAACTGGGAATGGGGTGGGGGAACTGGGAATGGGGGTGGGGAACTGGGAATGGGGGTGGAGGAAACTGGGAATGGGGATTGAGAAACTGGGAATGGGGGATGGAGGAACTGGGAATGGGGGTGGAGGAACTGGGAATGGGGGTGGAGGAACTGGGAATGAGGATGGAGGAAACTGGGAATGGGGTTGGAGGAACTGGGAATGGGGATGGAGGAACTGGGAATGGGGATGGAGAAACTGGGAATGGGGATGGAGGAAAATTGGGAATGGGGGTGGAGAAACTGGGAATGGGAATGGAGGAAACTGGGAATGGGGATGGAGGAAACTGGGAATGGGGGTGGGACGGAACCGAACGGGGTGGGGGAAACTGGGAATGGGAGTGAGAAACTGGGATGGGGGTGGGGAAACTGGGAATGGGGGTGGAGAACTGGGAATGGGTGGAAGAAACTGGGAATGGGGTGGGGGAACTGGGAATGGGGGTGGAGGAAACTGGGAATGGGGATTGAGAAACTGGGAATGGGGGTGGGGGAACTGGGAATGGGGGATGGAGGAATACCGGGAATGGGGATGGAGGAAACTGAGAATGGGGATGGAGGAAACTGGGAATGGGGGTGGAGAAACTGGGAATGGGGGTGGGGGAACTGGGAATGGGGGATGAGGAATACCGGGAACGGGGGTGGGGAAACTGGGAATGGGGATGGAGAAACTGGGAATGGGGGTGGAGAAACTGGGAATGGGGGTGGGGGAACTGGGAATGGGGGATGGAGGAATACCGGGAATGGGGGTGGGGGAAACTGGGAATGGGGATGGAGGAAACTGGGAATGGGGATGGAGGAAACTGGGAATGGGGGTGGAGGGGAAAACTGGGAATGGGGGTGGGGGAACTGGGAATGGGGGATGGAGGAAACTGGGAATGGGGATGGAGGAAACTGGGAATGGGGGTGGAGAAACTGGGAATGGGGGTGGGGGAACTGGGAATGGGGGATGGAGGAAACCGGGAATGGGGGATGGAGGAATACCGGGAATGGGGGATGGAGGAAACCGGGAATGGGGGATGGAGGAAACTGGGAATGGGGGATGGAGGAAACTGGGAATGGGGGTGGAGAAACTGGGAATGGGGGTGGGGGAAACTGGGAATGGGGATGGAGGAAACTGGGAATGGGGGATGGAGGAAACTGGAATGGGGGATGGAGGAATACCGGGAATGGGGATGGAGGAAACTGGGAATGGGGGATGGAGGAAACCGGGAATGGGGGATGAGGAATACCGGGAATGGGGGTGGGGGAACTGGGAATGGGGGATGGAGGAACTGGGAATGGGGGATGGAGGAATACCGGGAATGGGGGTGGGGGAACTGGGAATGGGGGATGGAGGAAACTGGGAATGGGGGATGGAGGAAACTGGGAATGGGGGATGGAGGAAACTGGGAATGGGGGATGGAGGAATACCGGGAATGGGGGATGGTTCCCAGGGTCAATCCTGGTTCCCGAGGCTTGGCCAGCTCCAGGAGGGAGCCCTGTGATGTGGATGGGCCCTGGTGATGCCCCATGAGATGAGACCACCACGAGGGACCCAACTGTGGTCCCCACGGTGCCCACAGGCCCACGGGTGATCCATGGAGCATCTCATGGGGCTCTCATGGGTACCCCCAAGGTGTCCTTTGGGTCCCATTGATGCCCCCCTTTAGGAGTCATGGATGCTCCTCAGAGCATCCATGGATGGGCCTTGGGGTATCTCATGGATGGTCCCTTTGGATGTCTCATGGATGGTCCCCACGGTGCCCACAGGCCCATGGATGATCCATGGAGCATCTCATGGGGCTCTCATGGATACCCCCAAAGTGTCCTTTGGGTCCCATTGATGCCCCCCTTTAGGAGTCATGGATGCTCCTCAGAGCATCCATGGATGGGCCTTGGGGTATCTCATGGATGGTCCCTTTGGATGTCTCATGGATGGTCCCCATGGTGCCCATAGGCTCATACATGGTCCATGGAGCATCTCATGGACGGTCCCTTTGGATGTCTCATGGATGGTCCACATGGTGCCCATAGGCTCATAAATGGTCCATGGAGCATCTCATGGACGGTCCCTTTGGATGTCTCATGGATGGTCCACATGGTGCCCATAGGCTCATGGATGATCCATGAAGCATCTCATGGATGGTCCCCATGGAGCATCTCATGCATGGTCCATGGAGCATCTCATGCATGGTCCATGGAGCATCTCATGCATGGTCCATGGAGCATCTCATGGCTGGTTCCTTTGGGTATCTCAAGCATGGTCCATGGAGCATCTCATGCATGGTCCATGAAGCATCTCATGGATGGTCCCCATGGAGCAACTCATAGATGGTTCCAATGGTCTCAAGTATGGTCCTCATGGTGCCATAGGCTGATAGATGGTCCATGGAGCATCTCATGGATGGTTCCTTTGGGTACCTCATGCATGGTCCATGGAGCATCTCATGCATGGTCCATGCAGCGTCTCATGGATGGCCCATGGAGCATCTCATGCATGGTCCATGGAGCATCTCATGGATGGTTCCTTTGGGTATCTCATGCATGGTCCATGGAGCATCTCATGGATGGTTCCTTTGGGTATCTCATGCATGGTCCATGGAGCATCTCATGGATGGTTCCTTTGGGTATCTCATGCATGGTCCATGAAGCATCTCATGCATGGTCCATGGAGCATCTCATGCATGGTCCATGGAGCATCTCATGCATGGTCCACGGAGCATCTCATGCATGGCCCATGGAGCATCTCATGCATGGCCCATGGAGCATCTCATGCATGGTCCACGGAGCATCTCATGCATGGTCCATGCAGCATCTCATGCATGGTCCATGGAGCATCTCATGCATGGCCCATGCAGCATCTCATGCATGGTCCCCATGGTACTCTTAGGCTCATGGATGGTCCCCATGGAGCATCTTATAGATGGTCCCAATGGTCTCATGTATGGTCCCCATGGTGCCCATAGGCTTATGGGTGGTCCATGGAGCATCTCATGGATGGTTCCTTTGGGTATCTCATGCATGGTCCCCATGGTCTCCCCCCCAGCTACCCCCTGCCGCTGGTGCCCACCTGCAGCAAGGACTCGAACTGGAAGATGCAGAGCCCCAGCTGGGCCATGCTGGGCTTGAAGAGCTCCCGCAGGCGGTACTCCTGCATGAGCCGCACGAACACGCAGAAGGCCTCTTCCTCGGGCATCTGCAGAGCCAACGGGACACGAATCCCACCGGCCCCGGCGCTGGGACAGCGGGATGGGAGCCCCGGAACCCAGCACCCACCTGCATGAGCAGCAGTCCCACGATGAAGGCGCTGCCCTGGCAGTAGCCAACCTCGCGGTCCACCAGGGAATAGGCCTGGGAAGGAGGGAAAGCATGGGGTGCTCTGCTCCATAGGGGCGTGGGAATGGGGTCACATCCGCTCAGGGATTGGTGGGTCTGTTGATGGGGATGAGGGTATCCCGATGACACTGGGTTGGGGGGGAATGCCAGGCCTTGGATGAAGGTGGGATCTGATGAGCTTGAAGCTCTTTCCCACCCTGGTTCATTGCAGGATTCCCTAGTTCCCGATCCTCCCCATCAATGGGCCTTGGCCTCCACATTCCCTGTGGTTGGAAGCCTTAATCCTCAATGGAAAGCCCATTCCCATGCTGGACAAGAGCTTTGGATGTGGTTCACACCACCTCCTGTTGGGATGAGATCCCCAAAGCCCAAACTGCATCCTTAATCCAGAGGGGAACCCAATGGGAAACTATTGAGTGTTGGTTCCTTAATCCAGAGGGAAAAATCCCACAAAATGACCCAAAGGAGAGGAGATTCCATCAAAATTATCCCAGAAATGGAGGAATTCCCACAAAATGACCCAAAGAAGAGGAGATTCCATCAAAATTATCCAAAAACTGGAGGGATTCCCACAAAATGAACCAAAGGAGAGGAGATTCCATCAAAATTATCCAAAAACTGGAGGGATTCCCACAAAATGAACCAAAGGAGAGGAGATTCCATCAAAATTATCCAAAAACTGGAGGGATTCCCACAAAATAACCCAAAGAGAGGAGATTCCATCAAAATTATCCCCAAAATAGAGGAATTCCCACAGAGGGGAACCCAATGGGAAACTATTGAGTGTTGGTTCCTTAATCCAGATGGAAACCCAATGGGAAACTATTGAGTGTTGGTTCCTTAATCCAGAGGGAAACCAATGGGAAACTATTGAGTGTTGGTTCCTTAATCCAGAGGGAAACCCAATGGGAAACTATTGAGTGTTGGTTCCTTAATCCAGAGGAAACCCAATGGGAAACTTGAGTGTTGGTTCCTTAATCCAGAGGGAAAAATCCCACAAAATGTCCCAAAGAGAGGAGATTCCATCAAAATTATCCCAAAACTGGAGGGATTCCCACAAAATGACCCAAAGAGAGGAGATTCCACCAAAATTATCGAAAAATAGAGGGATTCCCACAAAATGACCCAAAGAGAGGAGATTCCATCAAAATTATCCCAGAAATGGAGGAATTCCCACAAAATGACCCAAAGAGAGGAGATTCCATCAAAATTATAGAAAAATAGAGGGATTCCCACAAAATGACCCAAAGAAGAGGAGATTCCATCAAAATTGTCTGAAAAATAGAGGGATTCCCACAGAGGGAAACCCAATGGGAAAACTATTGAGTGTAGGATCCTTAATCCAGAGGGAAAAATCCCACAAAATGACCCAAAGAGAGGAGATTCCATCAAAATTATCCCCAAAATAGAGGGATTCCCACAGAGGGAAACCCAATGGGAAAAGGATCGTTCCTCCATCCATGAAACCGGAGCTTTGGGATTGAGCTCCTGGGCGCAGGAAGCGACGGCTCCGCATCAATGCCCCCCCAAACCCCATCCCAAGGGATGAGCCCCCAAGGCCCGGACGGGACGGTACCTTCATGACGTTGAAGAGCACCTCCTGGCCCAGGCTATCCTGGCCCTTGAAGAAGTCGTGCTCGGGGTAGGTGCGGGCGATGTCGCGACGGATGAGCCTCTCGCACGGCGAGGACCTCTTGAGCAGCTCCGAGTACTGGTGCTTGACCGGCATCTCGGTGGCGCTGCACAGCAGCTGCCAGACGATGGCTCGGAAGTGATGGGGGATCCCTTTCCGGATGAGCTCCTAAGGGGAGGGATGGGATTGTGAGCTTGGGATGAAGGACACAAGGCAGGGAGGTGGAGGCCAGTTGGAGGCCTGTACCTACTGGAGTGCCCCAAGGGTTGGTACTGGGACCAGTATTGAATATACTCATCAATGATTTAGATGGGGGATTGAGTGTGCTGTCAGCGGGTTTGCAATGGCACTAAACTGGGAGGAATGGCTGATGCACCAGAGGCTGTGCTGCCATCCTGGACAGGCTGGAGAGATGGGTTAGGGAATAACTGGATGGGATATAACAAGGGAAAGTGTAGAGTCCTGCATCAGGGCAGGAACAACCCCAGGTTCCAGTATAGACTGGGGAACGACCTCTTAGAGACCAGTGTAGGGGACAGGGAACTGGGGGTCCTGGTGATGACCATGAGCCAACACCGTGCCCTTGTGGCCAAGCAGGCCAATGGCATCCTGGGGTGTATTAGAAGGGGGTGGTTAGTAGGGCGAGAGAGGTCCCCGTTCCCCTCTACTCTGCCCTGGTGAGACCCCATATGGAATACTGGGTCCAGTTTAAGGACAGGGACCTGCTGGAGAGAGTCCAGCGCAGGGCAACTGGGATGATGAAGGGAGTGGAGCATCTCCCTTATGAGGACAGACTGAGGGAGCTGGGTCTCTATGGAGGAGACTGAGGGGTGACCTTATCAGTGTATATCAATATATAAAGGGGGAGTGGCACGAGGATGGAGCCAGGCTCTTCCCAGTGGCAACCAATGATAGGACAAGGGGCAATGGGTGCAAACTGGAACACAAGAGGTCCCACTTAAACCTCTTCTCAGTGAGGGTGATGGAACACTGGACCAGGCTGCCCAGGGAGGTTGTGGGGTCTCCTTCTATGGAGACATCCAAACCCCACCTGGACACGTTCCTGTGTGACCTTATCCAGGTGTTCCTGCTCCATAGGGGGATTGGACTGGATGAGCTTTTGGGGTCCCTTCCAACCTCTACCATACTGGGATACTGGGATACGGTGTGATTGAGGATGCGGCGATGGGCGCATCATCACCTTCAGCAGCTTCTCCTTCTTCCTCCGCCACTCGTCCCATTCGTTGACGATGCGGCCCCATAGGATCCAGGTGTCCTCTTCCAGGTGGCTCAGGTTGGAGGAGGCCGAGGAGCTGGAGACCAGTGAGGAGCCGCTGTTCCGGCGGGAGCCGTTCATGGAGCGCAGGGATTTGGAGTCGGCCTCCAGGAGCCTGCGGGAAGCAGGGATGGGCACAAAGCAGATCCAATGGGAGACAAGGGAAGGGGAGGGATGGGGTTGGGGGGGAGGGGGGGTGGACCACAAAATGACCCAAAGGAGAGGAGATTCCATCAAAATTATCCCCAAAACTGAGGGATTCCCACAAAATGACCCAAAGAAGAGGAGATTCCATCAAAATTATCCCAAAAATGGAGGAATTCCCACAAAATGACCCAAAGAAGAGGAGATTCCATCAAAATTATCCCAAAAATGGAGGAATTCCCACAAAATGACCCAAAGAGAGGAGATTCCATCAAAATTATCCCAAAAATGGAGGGATTCCCACAAAATGACCCAAAGGAGAGGAGATTCCATCAAAATTATCCCAAAAATGGAGGAATTCCCACAAAATGACCCCAAAGAAGAGGAGATTCCATCAAAATTATCCCAAAAATGGAGGAATTCCCACAAAATAACCCAAAGAGAGGCAACTCCATCAAAATTATCCCAGAAATAGAGGAATTCCAACAAAATGACCAAAAGAGAGGCGATTCCATCAAAATTATCCCAAAAATGGAGGGATTCTCACAAAATGACCCCAAAGAAGAGGAGATTCCATCAAAATTATCCCAAAAATGGAGGGATTCTCACAAAATGACCCAAAAGAGAGGAGATTCCATCAAAATTATCTGAAAAATAGAGGGATTCTCACAAAATGACCCAAAGAAGAAGAGATCCCATCAAAATTATCCCCAAAATTGAGGGATTCCCACAAAATGACCCAAAGAGAGGAGATTCCATCAAAACCATCCCAGAAACAGAGGAATTCCCAAAAATAACCCAAAGACGAGGAGATTCCATCAAAATTATCCCAGAAATGGAAGTATTCCCAAAAATAACCCAAAGGAGAAGAGATTCCAGCAAAATTATCCCAGAAATGGAGAGATTCCCACAAAATAGCCCGAAGGACAAGAGATTCCATCAAAACCACGCCAGAAACAGAGGAATTCCCCAAAATAACCCAAAGACGAGGAGATTCCATCAAAATTATCCCAGAAATGGAGGGATTCCCACAAAATGACCCAAAGGAGAAGAGATTCCATCAAAACCATCCCAGAAACAGAGGAATTCCCCAAAACAACCCAAAGAAGAGAAGATTCCAGCAAAACTACCCCAAAATGGATGTATTCCCATAAAACAGCCTCAAAGGAGACGATTCCCACAATCCCATCCCAGAAATGGAGGTATTCCCACAAAACAGCACCACAGAAGAGGCGATCCCATCAAAGCCATCCCCAAAAAGGCGCTATTCCCACAGAGCATCCCAAAGGAGGACACGAGGCTCCTCCAAACCTCCTTTTCCCATAGGAGCAGCTGGGATCCCAGTCCTAGAATGGGACCATTCCTTATTTACCCCTTTCCAAACAGCCACCTCCTTCCCAATATCCCCTTTTCCCAATTGGAAGAGCTCCTTCCATAGGGGAAAACCAGCTTGGAGATGATTCCCATTGGGGATGCTTGGGGATGGAATTCCATCCCCGTTGGGTTGGAAGAGCTCCTTCCATAGGGGAAAACCAGCTTGGAGATGATTCCCATTGGGGATGCTTGAGGATGGAATTCCATCCCCGTTGGGTCGGAAGAGCTCCTTCCATAGGGGAAAACCAGCTTGGAGATGATTCCCATTGGGGCTGCTTGAGGATGGAATTCCATCCCCATTGGGTTGGAAGAGCTCCTTCCATAGGGGAAAACCACCTTGGAGATGATTCCCATTGGGGATGCTTGGGGATGGAATTCCATCCCCGTTGGGTCGGAAGAGCTCCTTCCATAGGGGAAAACCACCTTGGAGATGATTCCCATTGGGGATGCTCGAGGATGGAATTCCATCCCCGTTGGGTCGGAAGAGCTCCTTCCATAGGGGAAAACCACCTTGGAGACGATTCCCATTGGGGATGCTTGGGGATGGAATTCCACCCCCATTGGGTTCGGGACATCATTGGGATGGGAAACGCTTGGGAAAGGCCGGGATAAGGAATGGGAATGGGTGGGATTCCATTGGGAACTCACCGGTTCTGCTCCTCCAGCTTTGCCAACAGCTCCAGCTCATCGGGGCTGAGGTTCTCCGAGTCGGACGTGGGGGAACAGGCGGGAGCCGAGTGGATGGAGGAGAGGCCTTCATGGGAAGAGGAATCGGGGCTGAGGGCCGGCGACGCCATCGTGGGATTCCAGCTGGGATCTTGGGATCTCACCTGGAAAACCCAGGCCGACGTCAAGGGCGGCCTCCCTGCTGCCAGTGCTCCTCATCCGCATGGAGCCCAACCAAGGTGGGAGCAGCCCTCCATGGGCAGAACATGGAAAAGCATGGAATGCCCCAAAAATTCCCTAAAATTCCCTACAATTTCTTATTTTAAACCCAATTTTCCCATCCTGTGTTGGCCCTGATCAAAATAGCCAAAAACCAGGAATTAGGCCCAAAATTCCTTCATTTTCAGAAGGAATGGGTGGGACGAAAGGGTGAACCTATGGATTCACCATGGGTTTCCCTATGGATCCACAACCCACTTGGGTGGTTTTCCATAGGTTTCCCTATGGATTTTGATGGTTTTCCATAGGTTTCCCTATGGATTCACAAACCATTTTGGTGGTTTCCATAGGTTTCCCTATGGATTCACAACCCACTTGGGTGGTTCCCATAGGTTTCCCTATGGATCCACAACCCATTTGGGTGGTTTCCATAGCTTTCCCTATGGATTCACAACCCATTTGGGTGGTTTGCATAGGTTTCCCTATGGATTTTGATGGTTTTCCATAGGTTTCCCTATGGATTCACAACCCACTTTGGTGGTTTCCATAGGTTTCCCTATGGATTCACAACCCATTTGGGTGGTTTCCATAGGTTTCCCTATGGATTCACAACCCATTTGGGTGGTTTCCATAGGTTTCCCTATGGATCCACAACCCATTTGGGTGGTTCCCATAGGTTTCCCTATGGATTCACAACCCATTTGGGTCCATAGTTCCCTAACCACAACCCATTTTGATGGGTTTCCATAGGTTTCCCTATGGATTCACAACCCATTTGGGTGGTTCCCATAGGTTTCCCTATGGATTCACAACCCATTTGGGTGGTTCCCATAGGTTTCCCTATGGATCCACAACCCATTTGGGTGGTTCCCATAGGTTTCCCTATGGATTCACAACCCATTTGGGTGGTTTCCATAGGTTTCCCTATGGATTCACAACCCATTTGGGTGGTTTCCATAGGATTCCCTATGGATCCACAACCCATTTTGATGGGTTTCCATAGGTTTCCCTATGGATTCACAACCCATTTGGGTGGTTTCCATAGGATTCCCTATGGATCCACAACCCATTTTGATGGGTTTCCATAGGTTTCCCTATGGATTCACAACCCATTTGGGTGGTTCCCATAGGTTTCCCTATGGATTCACAACCCATTTGGGTGGTTCCCATAGGTTTCCCTATGGATCCACAACCCATTTGGGTGGTTCCCATAGGTTTCCCTATGGATTTTGATGGTTTCCATAGGTTTCCCTATGGATCCACAACCCATTTGGGTGGTTCCCATAGGTTTCCCTATGGATCCACAACCCATTTGGGTGGTAACCCTAACCCTAACCCTAACCCTAACCCAAATCCAGGTGGGAATGGGGTAAGGAGAAGCCAAGCGGGGTTCTCATGGGGTGCAATCCCGTTGCATTTGCAGCATGGGATAAGGAGCTGGTGGGCGCCGTTCCTTGAGGATTCCCAAGAGCTCATCCCCAAACCAGCAAATCCCCCCCCGGACCCCAATTTTGCCAGAAAACCCCATTTTTAACATGGAAAAGCAGCTGGAAGAGGGAAAACCCCATGGGTGAAAGCACCGGCATTCCAGAGGGTGGGAAAAGCACAGCTTGGAAATGAGGTTAAACATCAGGAATCCTGCTCTGATGGAGCCAAATGGGGGTGATTTGATGCCCAAATCCCACCCCTTCCATCCCCAAATGTGGATTTTCAGGTGGAAACATCCCCAAATGATGCCCAGAAAGGGATTTTTGCCCCAAATCGGCTGAAATGAACCCAAAATGATGGCGTTTTGGGGGATTTTCCATGCAAACCGAGGGGGTTTCTGCCTCCATCCATGCTGCAGGTAGCAAAGGCTCCCAAAACAGCAGGAAAAGGGGAAAAGCATCCCAAAAGGAGCAGGGATTTTGGGGGGGGGGGACCGGGATTCGCTACCAAATCCCAACAAAGCCAAAATCCCAGGATTTCAACCCAAAAGGAGGCAGCAGGAAGCACACAAAGGCACCGCTCCGGGGCTGTGCCTGGATGGAGCCATCATGGGGGGGGGAATTTCTG